TATATCTTGTGCTACAACCTAAACATAGACACCATACTCAGATTTGCATTGAACAAATCCCAATTTGACTAAGTATGAGTCGATCTTCTTGTTTCGTGCTCTAGGTGCCTGCTTGAGGCCATAGAGAACTTTGTGCAATCTATATACTTTACTTGTTTCCTTCTGAATCACAAACCCTGGAGGTTGTGTGACATAAACCTCTTCATCTAAAGGACCATTCAGAAATGCTGATTTCACATCTAAATGAAATGTCGACGAGCCTTGGTTGCATGCCAATGCTACCACTAGTTGAATAGTCCCCAATCTTGCTATTGGAGCAAATACATCAAAGTAGTCGAGTCCTTCTCTTTGAAGAAACCCTCGAGCTACTAATCTTGCTTTATGTCTTAATATCGAGCCATCAACATTATGTTTCAACTTGAATACCCATTTTACTTCGATAGCTTTTGTATATGCTGGAAATTTAACGAACTCTCATATGTTATTTCTTTCGATTGCATGTAACTCTTTGACCATAGCTAACTTTCATTGGTTAGTCTAATAGGCTTTGTTATAGTTAATTGGTTCAGCACCTGCAAGTAAAGCAAAATAAACTAATTCTCCACCTGGTGTGATTTCATCATCACCCACCACTTCATAATCATGAAGTCTTGTTGGAAAAACTTTATTTCTTTGAGGTCTTTGGCTTTTTTCAGCCACAACCTCATTGACTTCGACTGTGTCGGGAATATCGGCAACTGCTTCTTCTTCGACTTTGACTGGATTCATAACAATCCCTTCGACCTCTACTTCATCAGTTTCTTCATCGAAATCAGAACTCATCAATGGATTTTTAATTGAATTGCTAGAATTCCAATCCAAAGCAGAATTTTCATCAATCACAATATCTCTACTCAATATAATTTTCTCATTAATTGGATTGAATAGCCTGTATGCACCCGTATTATGATATCCTACCAGAATCATAGGTTCACTTTTGTCATCAAGCTTCCTTCTTCTCGCATCAGAAATATACTTGTAAGTCATAAAGTCAAACACCTTCAAATGACTTATTGATGATCATTTGCCACTCCACAATTTTTCAAGAACCTTGTTCTCCAATATCTTAGTAGGATACCTATTCAAAATATAAACGGTAGTCGAAATAGCTTCTCTCTATAAAGACTTTGGCAAATTATTTTGCTTTAGCATGCATCTCGCCATATCTAATATGGTTTTGTTTCTTCTTTAAGCAATTACATTATGTTGAGGTGTATAAGAAGCAATTACCTCATGATCAACACTATGTTCTGCACAAAAATATTCAAACATCTTGGATGTGTATTCGCCACCTCCATTTTTTCGCAGAACTTTAATCTTCTTCTCACTCTGGTTTTCGACAAGTATCTTGAATCTCTTAAATATTTTGAACACTTTGTCCTTTAGTTTGATCACATAGATCCACAGCTTTCGACTAAACTCATCCACAAACGAAACAAATATATGTTTCCACCAATGGTATGTTCTTCGAATGGACCACATACATCTGAATGTACCACTTCGAGTATGCAAGATGATCTCATTGGCATAGTCGAAACAAATGAGTTTCTGGATTACTTTCCTACTTGACAACCTTCACAAATTTTATCAGACATCTCAAGACTTGGAATACCAGTAACCATATCTTGAGTAATCATTTGATTAAGTGATCGAAAGTTCAAATGTCCAAACCTCAAATGCCACAATCAACTATCCTTGTGGTCGACAACAGTTTTCAAACATTGAACTTCTGTCGAACTGATCAAAATCTTAAATGTCCTGTTCTTCGACAACGGAGATTTTAAGACCAAATTGTTTTTGGTGTCAAACTATTTCAAAACTCCATCTTTCATAACAATTTAGAGACCTTTTTTGACTAGTTATCAAACACTTAGAAAATTGCACTTTATTCCAGGTACATAGAGCACATCTTTGATCATAGTTTTCCCTCTATTACTCATTTGAAAGAGTATGTTGTCAATACCTTCTGCTTGCAACAAACTATTATCAGCAAGTTTTACCTTGCTCTTCTTCGACTCGTCAAAATCTGCCAACCACTCTTTTTGACCAGTTATATGGTTTGAGCAGTCTGAGTCGAGAAATCAGGTCTTAAATTTGATATGGTTATCTGCAAATGCAACCATAACCACCATACCACCTTCAGAATCATCTGAATCTTGGTGTGCAAGGTTCGCTCCTTCATCCTTGCCTGTCGATCCCTTGTCTTTTCTATACCAATAATTCTTGACTATGTGACCCCACTTTTCACAATTATAACACTGTAAGCCTTTTTTATCTTCTTTTCCCTTTCGATAGTTTCCTCTTCCTCCTATCGAGGATTCAGAAGCTCCATCTTCGACCTGATGCTTGTGAGGTTTCGACCAAGACTTCTTGCCCTGAGTCTTGTTGAACTTGCCTTTGAATTTGTTAGAACCACCGTTCTTTTTCCATGACTGAGCTTGTAGATCCTATATCGAGTCTTGCACTACTTTCCTTTCGACAATCCTCATCTCACGCGCCTCCAACGAACCAACCAAATCTTCCATTTTAGTGGTTTCAAGATTGTTGGGTTCTTGAATAGCTATGTAACGTGATCAAAGTGAGAGGTCAACGTTCTCATTACCTTCTCAACTATCATCTTATCAGCTATGATTTCACCATAACCCTTCATGAGATGGACGAGTTTTTGAACCTTCGACACATATTCTGCAACTTTTTCATCTTTTCCCATCGACAACAACTCATATTGTCGATGCAAGATTTGTAACTTGACAACCATGGCTTTCTCATCTCCTTCGTAATACTTCACCAGAATATCCCATGCCTCCTTCTTCGTTTCAACATGAGAGATTCTGTTGAAATTAGCAGCATCGACCGTCGTCTGAATGAAATAAGCAACCTTGCAATATTTCTTCTTGACTTCGTTGTGGGTTTTTTCTGTTCGTTGGTTGCATTTGCAGCCAACGCAAGAACGTCGTCGGTAACCACTTCTAAGGTTTCATAGAAGTCAAACAAGGATTGCATCTGTTTTTTCCATCGGATCCAATTCTTGCTATCAAGCACTGGAAGAGAATTCAGAATGCCCTTATCACTAGTCATCCTCGCAACGGTTGATTCACTTACCCTAGAAACACGATCTCTGACGTGAAATTCTTGAAAACTTGATCAAGAACAATAATCAGACTCTGAATATCAATTTGTTAGTGCATGAGACACTTTTAGTGAGGAGAGAAAGTGAGAATAATAAAGGAAATAAAGATTTGTATTATTGAATTGTAAAAATAATAATACAGATTATGACTATTTATATACAACTTTAATTGAATTTGAGTCTACACAATTTTAATTATATTTAAATATTAAATCTAATTTAATATTTTAACTAATCTAATTTAATATTTTAATAAATTTATCCCCTTGCAAAAAAAATTTGAACAAAACAGTGTGACTAGCAAATAGTAAATTTAAGGCAAAATACTCATTTTGATCCCTTAACTATACCTTTGGGTTCATATTGGTCCCTTAACTTTTTTTTGTGTCATTTTGGTCCCTTAACTTTCAAAAAGTTTCATTTTAGTCCTTTTTGTCTAAATTCGTAGCTAATTAGACGGAAAAACTTTGAAATCAACCGCTAAATTCGTAGCTAATTAGACAAAAAGGACTAAAATGAAACATTTTGAAAGTTAAGGGACCAAAATGACACGAAAAAAAGTTAAGGGACCAATGTGAACCCAAGGGTATAGTTAAGGGACCAAAATGAGTATTTTGCCTAAATTTAAAAAAAATGTGCGTTTGATATTTCGTCCTCAACCGCTAATATGAAATTTAGAGACCCCCAAGGATCTACTTCATTACCCCGGGGAACAGAAAGAAATATTGTGATTTTAAGGCAACAGGTCCAATTACCACAATTGTGCTTAATTTTGTAAGCACGTAACCACTCATAGATAAAAGTCAGTATTGATCATGTCATTGTTCTCATTGCACCTTTATATATTTTTTCAGATTCTGTACTAAATTTCTAAAATGTTTTTAATTATTGAAGATGTATTCAGACTTACTAAATATTATTTTTCCATAATAAAATTCAGAGATATATCTCTGAAGTCTTACAAAGGTGTGTTCGGAGATGCATCTCTGAACAAGACTTAATTCCAGAAATGAGACACTGAATAAAAATATGATAGCATAATCAAAAACATATCAACACCAACATCAACATTTCATTAAATAAAAACATTTATTACATAGTCACAAAAATAAATTCAACATTACATAACCATTTCATCAAGACATTGATACATAATGATTATGTCCTTGACGGATCTTTGAATCTTCGCATCTACTTCAATCGTACCCTTTGATTCATAATGAAGAAAAATACTCTACATAACTTTTAGATCTTTATCCGAAAACATTACAGAGTAGTAAAAGAATTCTCATATAGCAAAAGTAACTCCGGACTTGCATCTTCAAATTTACCTTCAGATATGCATCTCTGAATTAAATTTTACCAAAAATTGATATTTAGTTCGTCGGAGTTGTATTTTCGAATTCACTCAGAAATATTTTCGGATTTTTAGAGATGCGCCTCGTATAACAAAGTGACATGAGAAATTGCCTTTCATTAATAATTTCCTCAGAACTCCATAAGCATATTAAACTTTCTTCACTTCTTTTCTAGTAAGATGATATTTGTATACATAACTCAATAATACACTATATGCATATCTAGCTAAAATACATAATTAGGAAGATATTGAAAAAGAAGGAGAAAAAAATCAATATCAAGGTACTACTAATTTTACATTTTCCTGCCAGGCCAATATTTTAAATTCTTCATTGCAAGGTTGCTTGGCGTGGTAAATGCTTTTATATACTTGCAAATCCTCCAAAGGATAAGAATAGTTTTTCCTCCTGTTTGCAGGAAAATGTCAAAAGATGAATTGAAAATTGCCCGAAAAAGCAAAGAATAATATCATTCAGTCTCTGAGAAAACTGCGATCCTTTGGGGATGTTATCTTCCCTCCACCTGTTTGACGCATAACCTCTGCAATATAAACTTGCCATTGTCATGTTTCCAGAAAATATTATACTAACAAAATGCCGAATAAAGCATGATCTCATATTCTAGCAAATCAAAGAAAGAATATAAGATTTTTTTAAGAAATTTATAAAAAAAGAAAAAGGAGCCTACTTCAACTTGAGATTTTTGGCAAATTACCATTAAACTTTTTATTTGGGAAATGTACTGCTTGAACTATTAACCATTTTGTCATTGACAAATTTTTATTACTAAGATAACCAAGTTCATTACAAGGAGGCATTGTGTTAGAAAAAAGATATTTCAATTCCATTCTTTTTTATAAGAGACCAATCACTTTTCAAATTTATTGAATAATCAATGTATTTGGTCTATTTATTGACTAGATACATTGACTATTCAACTAATCTAAAAAGTCAATTGTCTCTTATAAAAAGGAATGGAGGTAGTATAAAGAAAAACATGACATGATGGCGTGTTCGCGCTTTTAACAAAGTAAAAATGAAGATATACATAAACAATAGTATACAGTTAAATGCTCGAGTGATATGAAAAAGTGTAAAATTGAAGCAAGTAATTTGTAATTCGACAGAAAAAACAATGCCAAAGATAGGTTGTATTGTTAGTAATTAGAGATCCATATATATCATATCATATCAACAAATTTGAAGGTTGAGCACCTCCCAATGATGTTATGTGCATCTAGGAGTACAGCAAATAAAAAATGTAATAATATGACTCCCAATATAATAATACTGTCTCAGTTTTTTAAGTGTATATCAGAAGAAGAAATAGTAAGGACAAAATTAACAGTGGCACTCATATATATCATATCATATCAACAAATTTGAAGGTTGAGCACCTCCCAATGATGTTATGCGCATCTAGGAGTACAGCAAATAAAAAATGTAATAATATGACTCCCAATATAATAATACTGTCTCAGTTTTTTAAGTGTATATCAGAAGAAGAAATAGTAAGGACAAAATTAACAGTGGCACTCTGACTGTTTTTCTGCAGTTAAAGTTGGTTATTTGTGGCAATTAGGGTCTAATAAGGGTGGGTTATCAGGGGTCAACCCTTGTCGCTTGGAAGGTCTATATAAGGATGCCAAAGTCAAGTTTAGAAAGTTAGGATTGAATTTGTCGTTGCAAATTGGATTGTTCCAGTGTGAAGAGAGTGGTCTCTCTTATGTTACCTTCTTTTTCCCAAATCAATAAATCTCAGGGACAAATAATTCCCTTTTCCTAGTGTTCCTTCTCAAATAAACATAATCAATTCCAAAGTTCCCTTTTCTTAGTGTTTCTTCTCAAAAAAACGTAATCAATTCCAAACTTCCACCTATACATCGGAAGATCAGTTGGTTACTGACAAAATTGAATGTTGCATATGTTGTGAATAATATTTCCCTTAAAGGGTCAGTCACCATTCCAAGATTTTCTAAGCACATGTACACAACTAGTACAAATGGAAATTCTGAATAATTTTTTAGTGTTGTAAGCCTTTAGGCGAAATGATGAAAGCCCTATAGTAAGGAAGTCGATCTCTAAATGAGAATTTCATAGGACTAAGTCCATTTTTAGTGTTGCAAGCCTTTGGGCGAAATGATGAAAGCCCTATAGTACGGAAGTCGGTCTCTAAATGAGAATTTCATAGGACTCAGTCATTTGTTATGGATGCAAATGTTGTAATCTCTTCCAAGTACACCACAAACTAAAAATTTAACCAATTCTAGCGAATCAGTTGATTATCAATAAAACTGAATATTTTATTCATTAACTTTGAATCGGTCAACTATGCAGAATTTTCTAAGCATGTGTACTCAATTCAAACTGACATTTTAGTGTTAGGTCTAGACTTAAGGCTAAAAAATAACAAATCTCTATGATAAGTAAGTCAAACTCTCAATGAAAATTTCATAGGGCTGAGTCGAGTTGTATTTTGTAATGCTTGTTAATCTCTTTCAAGTTGTTTCCAACATTTCTAACACCTGCCCCATTATTTTCCATGACTATTTAATAAGCACAGAGAACTGGCATCTGTATAGCCTAAAAGGCTAAAGAGAAGATATAGAAGTCCCTACCCATACATACAGGAGGAAAAAAAGGAAACTGCAACTTTTTTGTCAAGAAAACAGAAAGCTTACCTCGTGTCCGCTCAAGCTCTTCTGCAAGTTCTTCTTTCCATTTCCTTTGTCTCTCAGAAAAGCTTGGGCTACAGATGAGAACAACTTTAATTTCAGTATTCAGGTAGATTAAACAAAGGTCCACTAGTCACTACCAAGCACCAAATACAAACCTGACACTTGATCCCAGCTCAGCATCATGAAGAGTCTCCTTTGACTCGTAAAGCTCAGAAGGCTGAATTTCCTGCAAAGGTTTACTACGAGCAGTCACAGGTTTCGTAAGATATTTTCTATGACTCTCAGGGCTTGTTACATTGGCAATGCTGGCCATTGAGAATCGCCGTCTATCTTGACTAGGAGGCCCGCTTTTTGATGTTACATTTGAGACATCTGAAATAACTTTACTCTTTGCAACTGCAACAGGTACACGAGGAATGGCTGCAATTGATTTGCCAAAGAATTCTTCATAAAGAGGTGTTTGGAGCTTATTCAGTTCAAAGGCCTATTGTAATTCATCAAAGGGAAAAAAAATCAGTTTTTAATTACATTCATTTTAAATTTAAAGAGAAATACAAGCAAAAATAAAAAATACTGGCCATTAAGTACTACTATATTGAAAGTCAACAAATATGTTGTCTGGTCTCATACTAAAATAGAACCTTATCATCCAGGAAAGCTCTAATTTTGCATTCTGTTACTTCATCCTCATCTTCTACTCCAAGAGGTTCACTTGAAAATGAAAACTCCTTCTCTGCATTAGGAGATGATTTGGGACTCGTAGTTTTCCTAATAGTTTGATCTGGGGACACGTTCAGTCTGCTTTTCTTTAAATTTAGTGTTTCGTCAGATTTGCAAGGCCAGCCATCCTCCACAGGTTCGCACATTGGATTGAAACTCTATTCCAATGACAATATCATCCACTCATTCAAGTGTACAACAAACACTAATCATGAAACATCAAAAACAGTGAAAGAATCAAACTTGGCACCTTTATGTCGTCAGCAGCAAGTAGGGAGTTAGCTTTTACTGGTGATGCAACCAAAATATCATCATCATCCATCTGACACATGTCATCATCATAGTTGTCTGCTCCCTGGTAGGAACCTGGTTTTAGAAGATTTGCATTTGAGAACCTTAAACTATCCATCTGAAAAACATCTTTTAGACCTGTACATGTTGATCCTTGGATAGAATCCAAACTGCAGAGCAGAAGAGAAATTGATGATCCATACCCATGAGGAATTCCACAAAAAACAAGTGTTATCTAGTATACTTACAAGTTCCTAGAGTTCATCCCATTTGTTGTCATCCGACTGCAAGAGTCCTAGATATTGGAAAAGTAAACAGTTGATAAAAAGTAAGTTATCAATATGGTCTTAGTTTATGTTGTACAAACTCGAGGGGGATACTAACCCTGACTGAACTGCGTGATATTGAATGAGATTCCTGATACTCGCAGGTGATGAATGGATGCTGCAGATATTAGGCAAAATCACTATATTGAAGGAAAGCTAAGTTAAAAGAGCAAACAATTTCAAAATCTTTAATTATAACTGAATATTAAGTAAGTAGGCTGAAAAGGAGGAAGATTTGCAAAATACCAGTAACAAGTCGGATGCAGAAGGTCTTAAATCTGGTTCCCTGCCACCACAAATTGATGGGTAATGATTAGAACTTAAGAGCTAAATGTCAAACTGTATCACTAGCCTTTTTAAAACAAATGCAGTCAGAATAAAATTGTGTCATTTTAATAATTGTACTTGTGAAAGCATTTCAGCAAAAAGTCCTTTGCCTCAGCAGACAGATGTTCAGGTATTGGTGGATGCGATCTAGTTGTCCCAATGTAGAAAAGAGCTGAAACCTAAAAGAAAAATAAGCTTAAGCAAAACACTACTAAAAACAAAATTGCAAAGAGATAGATAGTAAAAGAGATCAAATAATAAAAGTCAATGATAAAATTAGATTCCTTAGTAAGGCTTGAACTTAAAAGCATGTACCTCTTGGGGATACTGTTGACTCCATGGAGGCTTTCCTGTGGCCATCTCTATCACAGTGCATGCAACACTCCATATATCAGCAGAACTAATAAATCAAAAGTCAGGTGCCATCCCAAGAATGAGTTTTAATTATAATAATATCTTGTGGCCGAAAACACAAAATATAAGTTCATCACTTTGTTCACTTTTAATTAATAGGTTCAAAAGGTCTATAATAAAAGTAACAAATAGAAAAAAAGGGGTTTTAAGAAATTACCAATTATTATTTCTTATGTTGCTTAATTTTTTTCAAAAACTTGTTCCCATAATCTGCATTTCCATGTTTGAATCTTATTTGCCTACAGGATTTTTACCATTTCTACTACGATTTTGTAAATCAGAGTCAGAATGTGAACAGGTGTCGAGCACGTACAAGGTGCATAGGACCAAAGGTTGAAATCCACATGTATTTTTAGTAATGACATTACTTACTCTATTACCAAAATTACTCTCTTAAGTTTCTAACTCAGTTTCTTCCTACAACGGTCCATTTCTAACAAAAACAAAGGAACTTCTAAACGTGCTTTTGTTTACTTATGGGTTATGACATGAGGGCGTATAGATCTACATGGTTCCAGTAATGTACCAAACACTTACACATCACGAACTTTTATAATTATGGATACAAGATTACATATTGTAACCTCACAGGTAGCCAAAACCTCAAAAGTCAGACCTAAAACCATAACAAAGTAAGAAATTGTATCATTAAAATTATTGATGAAGTTGGATCCTAATGAAACTTTACCACATGAAGCTCAAAGGAGAAGAAAAAGTGTTTGCAGATGAATATTTATTGAGACAGGATAAAATCAGGACTACAAATTTTAACTATTCTTCAGTGATATTTTAGCTTTAGAAGTGGACTGCAGTTTCCGGACTTAATTATTGTGATGGCTTAACTATCTAAAAGTTGCCCTGGAATTGAAGGGAAAAAGAAAGAATCATGAACTGTTCATGCAACTTACACTCTTCCCTGACCACCCAAAAGACTATATTTCTACTGCTAGTAACCAAAGTTGGCCGAGGAAGGTAGAAAATGCTAAAGAACTGGAAGTAACTAATTCGTCTAGTCCTTTCTTGTATCCTAATAATGAATTGATGAATTGAATTCTGTAGTTATGATGAGATAACATAACAGAAGTCAACATGTCACAAATACAAATTTCATCTCATTCCATGACATACAAAATCCTTATTGGATGATTTTCATTACTTATGACAAATAAACCTTCAGAAGCCGAATTACTAGATTTGGCGGTTAAGATCATTTCCTTTACAAATATTTAGTCCACTTACGTTGTATATCCTGTCTGTAAAATAACTTCAGGTGACATCCAGTGTGGGGTACCCTTCATAGACTTTGCTCCATTTATAGTAGCCTATTTCAAATTCGCAAACATTAGATATTAGCCACAGAAAAAGTCACGCAAGAAGCTTGTAATAGCGTAATGATTTAATAACATCGACACTTTCATACCAATTCCACGACTTTCCTGGATGCGCCAAAGTCTGCGAGTTTAATACACCCTTTGTTATCAACTAGAATGTTTGCACCCTATATCCGACAACACGTCAAATAAAATACGAGAGAGAAAACACAATAGAGTCGTCTAAAATAAAGCAAGAGCATTGTACCTTAATATCCCGGTGAATAATTCTGTTATTGTGAAGGTATTCAAGCCCCTCTAAAAGCTGTTTTGTATACGTTTTTATAACCTGATAAAAAAAATCGTACATGAACAACAACATAAAAGCACAACCCATCATATTCTCCATACAGTAAATAAATTAAAAACCACTCACGGACTCCGGAAAGGATCCGAATTTCCCCAACAGCGATGAGATAGATCCACCAGGTACAAACTCCAGCAGAATATTCAAGGAATCTTCCTCTCTAGCAGTTCCCAAGTATCTCTATATAATAAGGAACAAATAACCAAAAAGAATAAAACAAAGTTACTGTAACCAACACCAAGCAACCAAAATCACTTACTCAGACTAACATAATAAAACTACACTCACAACAATATTCGGATGCTTAAGATTCTTGAGAAGCTTCACTTCTTCTTCAAGCTCCCGAATATTAGCCTGATTCAACATAGTAGAAACAGGTTTTTTCAGATCAGAGTTCAACATCCACACTAAAATCCGTCATCTTACATAAAACACCAATATAGTAACTAATGCATTGCCAATGCCACCTATATGAAGCTCAAAACAAAGAATCGTTACCTGTGTATTCGCCTTGAAAGCAATACCAGGCTCGATCAAAACCTATAGAAAGCAACGATCAGTAACTAATTTCCACATACAGAAAAAATATATGAAAGAAAATATGATGAAAATTGAAATTCACCTGTTTAACGGCAATAAGCTCCCCGGAGTCGAGGTTCATACCCATATAAACTCGACCAAAAGCACCGGAACCAATCAACTCACCCTTCCGCCACCTAATCGGCGGAGGAGGTGGAGAAGGAGACTTGAGGCCGATTCTGGATTTACGAATGGCGGAGCCGATCTTGTTGGCGAATCCGGTGAAGCGTCCATCGTCGGCGTGTGCGGGTGGAGATGAGAAGACTATGGATCGGCGAATGGAGCCGAAGAAGTCTTGCATTGCATCTGTTTGATGAAATGAATATCTAGGGTTTGGTGATGGGAAAGAAGAGTTGAAGAGGGAAAAGTGAAGTGATTCAAAATGGTGTTACTGTTTTGGGATGAGTTCTGTAACGGTTATCTTGGTTTCATTTTTTGGTTATTATTTGTGGCGCAATAAGGTATTTTTGGAAATATATAAATTGGTGAGTTGTCGGCAATCGGCATATACTTTGTTAAAAAAATTCCACCATTCACGGATGATAAATAAAACAGAGAAAATTAATTAAACGATGTGTTCTTTTTTTTTTTTTATAGAATTTCTTATGATATCTTGTATAATGTCTTTCGAAATACATTTTTCGAACGTATTTTTTAAAAAAAAATATAATTATAAAATTGGAAATGTAATTATGATTTGGAATCGAATATGTATTTTCGGTTTCTGTACAAACAGTTTAGATCATGTTTTTATGGAGGTTTTGGTGAATAAATACGTAGTAAAATACGATGTGATTAAATACGAAGTAATCATAAAATACATACAAATGTTCATAAATGTTATGTTCCAAAATACGATATCCAAAATATTCTTCAAAATGTTATCCAAATAATCCATGAATAACATAATAGTGCTATAAACAAAATACAACTAAAACTATCAGACTACTGAGTATGGCGGATAATGAGTCAGCCTGTGATATTCGCAACATTTCTCTGTTACCGTTTGTAACACAGAGCCTCCTCAGCCTCTACCATGATGGCATCTAGAACACCTCTAACATCAAAGCCATCTAAAAACAGACTCCTATCAATATTCGTCTGTGCGATCTGCATGATACAACGACACCTAGGCAATACATCAATGGCATGATCGGTCTATGCCTGCTCCTCTTCTAGAATCTCTGCATGTGGTGGTCTAGGTGGGTTACCTGGAGTCTCTTGTACCAGATATGGATGTGACACCTTGAAGAACCATAAGATAAACCATCCTCATAGATCCATCCAATCTTTTGTTTTAATGGTAGTATGGGCATCATCCGACACGAGATGGTTAAGATAATCATCAAATATGTCATTCATATCCCTCCATTTTATCATAGGAGGGGCACACTCAGAGGGTGGTCTGGGAATGTGTTGCATGTATCTGAACTGCCGCATCACGCGCTCAGGTAAATAAGCAGCCGTCTTACGCGTCCCACATGTCAACCACCCAGTGAACAACATAATATCGTCAAAGGGAATCGTCTCACAGTGAGCCTCGTATGCATTGAAGCATATATCCTCATAGGTCAGGCGATCTATATACACCCTGAATGATTATGTCGCCTGGTTTCCTCGGAATGGGTCGATTGAAGCGGCACGTGGCTGAACCTCAGTATATGTAGGCTCAAGTGATCATCCGGATATGTGAGGGAAGTGTTATACAATCCAGGCCTGAAATGTTACCATCATTAGTAAGTAACAACATCAAAGTAATTTACATAACAAGACAAAAATAACATACGAATAAGAAATGTTACCGTAAAAAGTGTGATGTTGTCGGGCGTCTGCTTTGTATTCCACTTAGCACCTTCGGACAACTTATGGTACAAATAGACCAAACAAGCTGCCCCCAATTCCACTCACTGATTCGCTCAAAATCGTTAAAGAACCGCAAGTACATGATATCAGTGTAAGTAGCACTAGTGTCCACAAAAATCTGTGTGCCGACCAGATACAAAAGATATGCTCTCATAGCACGTGCTATGTGTTGGGCTACCTGAAGATCGTTACCAGCAGCCTGTCGTGCACGCCCTAGCTCAATTGTGAACACCTTCTGCAAGTAGCTAAATCTGACATGACACCCATGGGTTTTATATGTCTCAGCCAGAGCACTCTATGGAGTAACTCTTAAGTACTCCACCAACATATCCAGCGCCTTCTCTTTGGTTCACCTCTCATAATCTAAAAACTTCCCGCTAATCGGAAGGTGCAACAGAAACGCGACGTCGTCCAATGTGATTGTCATCTCATCGTGTGGTAGGTGGAATAATGATGTCTCGTGATGTCATCTCTCAGCAAAAGTGTTAATAATATCATAATTAACGGTAGTATATCCATATAAGACCAAATTATGCAGCCTAGTGATGTGCAACAACTCTAAGAACCATGGCTTGACGGGTGGTACCGGGCGATTGATCTTCCTAGCATGGTTAATCATCTTGAGTGGATTGCGGTCCTGCATGCATAGATAAACACCCAATATTTAAATGAACACAATACTTAGCAAAAAAAGGTAACATAATACGTAACAATTATTAAATGAAATATTTACCTCTTTGTCCCATAAGTGTCTGGCAACATGGTCCGGATACAACGACAATAATGACAAATCTGAAGGTCCTCCCCTAGAGGCTTGAGGCGCCTCTGTTGCTGCCTATGGATGGGCCTCTAGTGCTACCTGTGGATGGTCCTCTGGTGTTTCCTCTGGATGGGCCTTTGGTGCTGCCTCTAGATGGGCCGCTGATGCAAACTAGGTGGCCTCTAGTGTCTGCTGGGTGGGAGTGGCCTCTGGTGTCTGCTGGGTGGGAACCGGTGTAGACTGGGTGGGAGCAGGTGTCGACTGGGAAGAAGAAGACTCTCCTGTCTCAGAGACCATAGGGCGTTCATGGGAGGAATGTGGTGGAGATGTATGGATTGAATGTAGTGTAGTCTGTGAGTGGGATTCGGATGTCTCTCCTGGTCCAGATACATGTGGTTAGAATGTACGTCTGTGTGAGGACCGAGGAGGAGATGGATGGACAAGAGACTCTCGCCTGCTGGTCGACAGAGTTGAAGTATTCGGCACAACCAGCCTAGGAGCCTAAAAAGATTGAGTCATTTCCCTACGCATGAAAGCATGTTGTGAAATTCTTCTATGTCGCAATGTGGATTGTCTCTCAACCATAATACCTATAGAATAAACGAATAAAGTATTAAATACTAACACTATTCTACAAAGTGTCTGCTACAAATCAGAAGTATACTTCTGGTTTTGGTCAAGAACAAAATCGAAAATATACTTCAGGTACGACCTACAACTTAACAGGTACGTCAATGGCGAAGATGGCGCCCAATGGGGACCAAAAACAGACATTGATCGTCAAAAAGACATGGCTAACACTTATGTATTAACTTAAAACATTGCAAGAACTTAAAAAACTACATTTTACTACTCTAAAACACAATTTGTATGTAAAATAAAAAAAACTCAATAATACTAAAAAATAACTTACAATGATTGATTCTCCTTGGTTGATTCTGATTATGCCAGATGTGTTGCTTATGTGTTGCGATAAATTGATGGATTTTGAAACAATGAGTATTTTGGAACAATGGAGTTTTAAGAGATTTTTTGTTTTGTTTCTGTTTGAAGCAAATGAGGAAGAGGAAGAGGTAATGCAGGTATATGTCAAAAGACAAACTGAAAATACACTTACAGTTTGGAATCGGTGTTACATTTCCGGTTCGTATCAACGTAGTAGGGTGTGGCTTCTCACAGTTTTTTTCTTCATTTCATTTAGAGTATAATCGGAAACACAACATCGATTTGGGAACCGTAAATATACTTTCAATTTATATGTTTTTTTTCATATAATAGGGTGTGCATTGTAGATACATTTTCGATTTCTAGAAAAAAAATTGGAAATTCATGCTAATGCCTAAGAAACACATAGGATGCATTAAGAAATTTTTTTTCTGTCTATATTTAAATTATTTTATTTAAGATTTTCACTGTTTAAATATTTCTTGTGTACCCGTGTGTTGCATAGAGTAAAATTTCGGATTGATACCATGCTTATTTTTGCTACTAATATTTTGGTGATTCAAACAATGTGAATGGTATCACATTCATCACCAGAATTTCTTATTAATCTTGAAATAAAGAGAGCCTCAAAAAAAATTAAAGAACTTTCAAAAGATCCAAGATTTATGGCTCTCCAAATAACCAATGGTCAAAATATTTGGAAAAAAATTGTAATTTCCATTTTCAGTATTGTCATAGGTTGTTTATCAATAATATGACACTTTTTATGCATTTATATTTGATACACTCGATATACAAAAATATAAACAAAATTTTCTTAGTTACGCATTACAATCATAGTTGCTTCAAAGTATATTTTAAAACTAAATTTTTTTATTATTCTAATAAATTAATTAATAACTTAATGATTTCTTTTAAAATTTTAAAAATATTAGATGTGAATTTATCAGTGATATTTTGTATTTATTGTGTTTTTACATGTGAATTTACTTGTGATTTATTTTCCTTAAGAAGGAAGCTTTTAAACTATCAATATATGTTTTAACCGGAAATAACTAAAAAAATCGCAAATAAATCTATAACAAATAAACACACACTTTAGAAGAAAAAAAACTATCACTTCATGAGATTGGTCTAAAAACTATTATAAAAAAAAGACAAAATTGAAATTTTGTCATTGAAAAATACATGAATGTATTCAGAATCTTTTGAAACGCTTTATGGTAATGATAATAGAAAAAAGTAATAGGGTGACTAATATCACATAAAAAATAATATTTTATAATAGTATAATATGCACACAAATAAGTTTTTTTTATAAACAAAATTCATTGAATGAGCACAAGGGATATTCTATCCAATTACAATAATAGAGACAAATATCTCCAACTTAAACACCAAATGAGAGCATTTTCAACAATCATAGAAATTGCCTCATGATCTACCCTTACCTCCAATAATCGACCAATATCATACAATAGATTTAATATCATTTACATATTAATAATCGTTAACGAAATCAAAGAAATGTTAAAGAAAACAACATCAGAAAAAAAAAAGTTGTAAAGGCATTCTCATACGGAAAACTTATAAATGGTTTTAAGAAGAAACCTTATTTACTATACAATCTCACCATAACGTGTTTCATACCTACAAATATTAGTAAATGATAAACACTAAAAAAATACTAATCAACAATAACTTAAAAAAACAAATTTAACTCACTGAACTAA